GAAGGAAGGAAGGAAGGAAGGAAGGAAGGAAGGAAGGAAGGAAGGAAGGAAGGAAGGAAGGAAGGAAGGTTGTGAATTATGCTCAAACTTAGCTGATAAATTGTTCTCTCTTTTCCAATTTTAAGATACATCTTTAAGACTTATTTTTTGAAGCCAAAGCTCAAAATCTATTTTAAGTTCCAAAACTCACTTTTAGCATATTTAAAATTAGAATAACCCAGTCACAGATTATGTACGGAGTACTCGTCTTTCTCCAGTTATCCCAGCAGGAATAAGAGGCGTGGGTGTCTTATAGGGAGGCATTAAGAGCTCTCCTTTTAGAAAGCGTTAATTCCTTCAGTGTCAGTTAGGAAGTGTTTGGATTTTTCCAGCTCTCTCCAAGCTCTCAGGGTGAACTTGCTGTTAATACTTTTATTCAGTTACTTGACTGGGTAGTGGCCGTAAATATGCCTTCAGAGTAAACATTGGTGAGGAGGCAAAGAGACTCTCCATACAGGTGGTGCCAGTTCTGTTACCCAGAGGCCCACTTTAGCCCTTTTCACAGCACGGCTGACCTAAGCCTCAAAGGTGGCACCTTGATGCATTGCGTGCTTGTCTGCTAATTGAGCAATTGCCAGCGCCCTGCCCAGCCAAATATCTGCCAGCATATTTTAGCCATCCGATTCAACATTATACAGATCTTCAAAACTGTGGGAACAGTGTCCGCCAGGAAAGTTCTTTTGCTGGTCAAAAATGGGTGGGCCAGTCAAAAGATAATTTGACTTTGTAGCCCTCTAATGGCCACTGTGATGTGAACACACTATCCGCATGGTTAGCAGTGGGTTTAACCAATCCCAGGTTGAGCACTATGGTCCAATTTATTCCAGCCATCTGCTTGTAACTGCCTACAATGGAATCGAGAAAGCCACAAAAACCAAAAATGTAAAATGGACTGTGTTTCTCTGTCACACCGAAAGCTCTTATGCTAGCTACCTTGAATGGCTCCGCTTGCATTTCGTAATACTTGGAGGTGTCTTAAAGAGAAATCTGTGCAAGAAACAGTCACCGTTCTGAGCAATTGGAAAGGATGTGGTCAGGAGATGCTTCTGGCCTTGGAAAAATGCCTAAAATTCAAGTGAATTGCTGCACATAAACGACAGAATCATAGAATTAGGAAGATTGTTTACCCACATGTCAAACCCCCTGCTCAAGTGGAGAAATCCAAATTAAACCTGACGGATAACTATCTTGTTTCTACACGAACACATTCAGTGAAAGGAAACCCACCGTCACTCTACATAATTGGTTCCACTGTCAAACTTGGAGCGTGTATTGTCTGGAGAGGAGAAACTGAATGCAAGTATTCACCAGAAGATCCCTTCCATTGGCTGATGTTTAACATTTGGAAGCAAGCAAGAACTGCTCTCTTTGGATTAAGAAAGATCGTTGGTTTCCATTGTTTCTATGTTGAAATGGACTGCTTGCACATTTGGTCTTTTTGTTTTGAATATCTCTGTTTTTAATTAGGTGCACAACATTTTCCAGCCAGGACTGCATTTGGCTTTTAAGAGGAATGCCTGGGGCACATTGCAAAAAGCAGACAAACTAGGGCAAAAGGTACGTTGGATTTCATTTCACTTACATTTAATTGAAAGTAAATTAATTAAATAAATACAGTTAATATAATTACTCTTCGTGTACTTAATCATATCCAACTTTTGGAGGGTTCTGGGAGTTGCATGCGGCGCTGGGGCCTTAAATTGTGCTAGGCCACCATTATGGGCTGCAAACGTCTAGTTCACCACTAGATGGCAGCAGGATGATGGAATTCTCTATATCTCTTTGCTGTTATCTAGAGGTGATCTGCAACCCTGGCCATGGGGGCTGTGATTGTGTATCCTGTTCTAAATGAAGAAACTTTCTTCAGTTTAAATGTTAGTTAATGTTTGTTGGCTGTTAATTTTATTTCAAACTCCATTGGTTACAGAATGTGGAACAGAAATTATGTGCACCTAATGGCACTTTCTGGAAGGTTGAGTCCTCCTTGATTCTCCTGAAGAGAAGAACCTAAATTTAATAAAGATCAATAGAAAATAGTTACAAACACAAGAACCAATTCTGTGCAATGCTTAGTTTCTCCGTCTTGTCAACCTAGCTACCACTGAAACCAGTCCTAAAGATTTGTTCTTTCCAATTAATGTGTGCTAGTGTCAAACTTGCATGTCCATATGTATATGTGTATGTATTCTATTCATTCTTTTTAAAAGGGCAGAAATATGAATTACATTAATAAGTACTGTTTAAAATTAGATTCCTTTAAAACTGGGTACTCAGGTTATATTTAATTTGACCCCTATCTGCAGATATCAACCATTCTCACATGCATAAAAATATACAAATTCATCCATGAGCATGCATATTCTCTCTCTCTCTCTCTGGTTCCTCTTACAAGGACAAAAGGCAAAAGAAGAAAACAAGCTGGAGATGGGGAAGCCAGGAAAAGAGATAACTGCCCTAGGAATTTAAAAGAAAGATGGAATGGAGCCGGATGGAGAGGAAATGTTAACTGCTTGCTTTGCTTCCTTGTACAGTGGTACCTCTAGTTACGAACGCCCCTCCTTATGAATTTTTCAAGATACGACCAGCTCTGGGCCCCAAAATTTACCTCTACTTGTGAACTCCGCCTCCACTTACGTACCGGATCCGTGGCCATTTGCCCTGCTGCCACACGGTCGCGGCTTCCTGTGGGCAAGATGGCAGTAGCAAGGAGACGTTCAGTGAGGCTTGTGGTGTGTTTTGTGGCACTTGGAAGGTTTTTGTGGCATTTGGAAGGTTTTTGT